TATTCCCGTAGAAAGGCCTAGTGGAGGCTAAATGTTGATAAGCCCTGCACGTTGCCACGTGGAGACTGAGGTATGGGGTGACTTGGCGGTCAGTTCTAAAAGGCAAACTCCATCAGAAAAATAGCCACGTCGTCAGGAAAGATTGTTTGATCAGCCCGTCTTTTGGAGGGGGAGGGGTCAGAAAAACAACCACTGGTGATCCGTGGTTGTGTGAGTGCGGTGCTAGGTCGGCAAGGCGTCGTGAGTTGTCGTAAGTAAGTCTGTTACCTGAAGTCCAAAAACCGTTTTGAGTAGTTTGCATTTTTTCTTGGTTGTTGTTCTTGGATTTTAGCTGCATTTTTAGCCCAGTCTTTTGGAGGGAGGGGTGGTCAGAAAAACAACCACTGGTGATCCGTAGTTGTGTGTGTGCGGTGCTAGGTCGGCAAGGCGTCGTGAGTTGTCGTGAGTAAGTCGGCGTAGCTGTCGTACATAGTCCAAAACCGTGTTGAATCGTTTGCGATTTTTTTATTGTTGTTCAAGCTTTTAGCTACATTTTTTAGAGGTGCTTCAAGAAGTTGTTAACGTGGTTGTTATTACTGTGCCAAGTAGCTTGCTTTTTCGTCTAGCAGCGGAAGTATGGACAAATATGAAAAGATAAAGGAAAACCTTGACTTTTTAGGTGCGTTTAGCAGTTTGAAAAACAAAGCAGATGTGGTTTGCAAAGAATAGCTTCAATCTCAAAGTATAGTGTTGTACATGTACGGTATGGTTTGCTTAAATAGCATCCAGTTGTTGTTTTTTTATCCGTGAATGATTCTTCACATGAAATCTCATTTGAGGAACTTAATTTTCAGTTCAGAAGCACATATGTCTTGGTCGCTCATCACATGTGTGCGTAATTGTGCATTGTAATTATAAATATCAACCTATACATGCACGTAATTGTAAATATCAACCTATACATGGACGAACAGACGCTTACAAATATTCCTTCTTCCCTCGCACAATCCCCCAATGGAACGCCTTGCCTGGCCCGGTAGTTATGGCTCCCACCGTTGAGTCCTTCCGGGCCAGGCTGGAGGCCTGCCCGCCTTAGACCAAGCCCCCCCCCCTAAAGTGCCCCATCAGGGGCTATATGGGGGTGTAGCCGGGGCTCACATAACATCTTTGAGCCCCGGCCAAGATGAAGATGAAGATGAAGTTACATATATACATATGTGTTCCCGACCATTCAAACAGTATCTTATCAAATGTAGATCATACACCAGGATATGCAGAGCTCCGTCGCTGCTTGTGTAAGACTGACTAGACTAAGGTATCCTTTGCATAAATTTTGGAAAACGCATATATCCTGACGTATATAGTATTCTTCTCCTATTTCAGGGGACAGAGATGCTACGACGACGTGCGCGATGGAAGAAAACTTTGTGCAACACATTGTCAAATTGGTAGAGGGCGCTGCTGCACCATGATGTGAAGTTCAGTGCAAAGAACAACAGCAAAGCAGGGTAAGATTTCTTTCTACTCTGTGTGTGTGTGTGTGTGTGTGCGTGCGTGTGTGTGTGCGTGCGTGCGTGTGTGCGTGTGTGCGTGTGTGTGTGTGTGTGTGTGTGTGTGTGCGTGTGTGTGTGCGTGCGTGAGATTGCTGTCAGAAGTCAGAGTGACAAATTTATTTCACACATCATCAAAACCTGGTCTTCTCGTCCCTGGTCAGCCCGGAAGTTGTTACGTCATTTCCGTTGTATCAGCTCCAGCGCTGATCAGTGACGCGACGACTCTAAAACAACTGCGTTGTACTTCAGAATAAATATAATTAATAACAATACAATGATTGATAACACTTCACACTTAACACTTCATTAAATATTTTGGTAAATGCAGTATGGAACGTGTACTAATATATTTGTAATACTTAGCAACTATCGTGACTCATAAGTAAACATTACTCACATTCAACACGCAGTTATAATATGATATTATACGTATTTACCGAAAATAATGAAGGAGACAGGGCATGTTTATGCTTATTCATTCGTTTGTTTGTTTGTTTGTTAGACATTTATGCTTAAGGGTTGTTTATATTTAGCTCCATTACACAACTAGAAATATAAAAGTTAGTGCATTTCCTTTCCGTGTATCCATAATCATATACACATTAGCAAATGAGAGGAGGTTTTAATGAGTAGATGTTGGTTTTATAGAAAATAATTAAACTAATCTTCACTTTTTTTCGTTTAGACCAAGATATGAGTACCAACAAGGTCAACGGTTGACCTTCAAACCGGTACAATGACCTTGAATAGCGGACCACAGTTAACAAAAGGTAAATAAGTAAAAGAAAATAAAAGTAAACGAATTTTACCTTGTTTGTTAAATATCTTTAGGTATACTGGAATCGACCAATGAAAGAATATCTTCTTTGCCCAACTTTGTATAAGCGTGTATGCTTGGATAACTAAGTTGTTTACAATGTATGAAGCTTAAAGCACTAAATTGCCTATACTGATAAAAGCCTTTTTAACCAATCTTTCTGTTCTATTACAGATGACTGAACTGTCCTCAAATGCAGAGTGGCGTAACCACACTCAAGGTCACGACCTTTCACCCAGAGGTCACCTGCCCGAACGACCTTTCACCCAATGAAAGCGTCAGGCCAAGGGTCAGATTTAACCAATGGCTATCGTCAACCGAAGTGCCATCCTCCCCTTGTTGCCAATAGGGTATTCAATAAACTTGAATATTATGTTTTCCCAAAATAAAACATGGAGGTACCTACCGACTAGTAACATTACTGACAAGATGAATACATTGAAGACACAATAAAGGGATTTTAACATATACAAACGTCTGTAGTGCTAATGTACTTCTGTCTGTGAAGTCCTGAGTTCTCAATCTCACACCTACATACCTACCAACCACTTTGTCCATAATTACACCATTTTTTTATTCCAACATTTCATGACTAGACATGGTGACAGCACACTCAAGTTATATCAACTTATTTTATGCCGTCACCAACGCAGATAAAGGACAAATACGGAACAGGACAATACCCATTTTCACCTGAGTTAAGTGAGGAAAGCAGTGTAAAGTGCCTTTCCCAGTAGCACAAGATCGGTGGCATGTCAGGACTCGAACCCGGGACCTCTCGGTTCCGAGTCCAGCACCCGCTACGCCACACGACCCCACATAATTCACACTTACAACACCAGACAGACCAATAAACTACACATACCCAACTACACCACCACGGCTGGTCACAGAACATAAAATACACAGACACGAGCTAGTTAATAAACTACCAGATGACACGAGACATCTAGATTTCGTCCTTAAAAGGTTTCAAAATAGCCATGAGAAAACGACTCCTGATCTCCAAAGATACCTGACGCATGAACGATATATTTTATTTCTGGATGTATCTTTGTTTTGTTTTCATGGGATTGCTTGGAAATAAGCTCATGTAGCTCTAGGAGCTACCTACAGCCTTAAAAGGCGTCCAATCTGTAAAATATTGACACATACCCCACATGTCCTACCCTCCAAGCAGAGGTTGTGGGGGAATGATCGTTACCTTTTTATATACGGCCGTTGTTGTTTTTTTTTTTTTTGTCTCTCTGGCTAATGGATACTGCATTGGCCAATTTGATACTGTCTTTTTGCCACACTTGAATCAGTGTTTTATACTTTAGGCATTTAAAACTGTAGAAACAAGCCGCAACATTAGTCCTTTATATTTTGGGTGGTACCCTAAAAATCAATCCATGTCCTTCCGGTAACCGATTTTTGGCCAAAATTTTGGGCATTTTTGCTCCATGAATGTCAATATACATTGGGACGGTGTTGTTACAACTTATTATGAAGATAAGTGACTAGAATATTGACTTTGAAAAGTCTGGTTTCCAAGCCCTTAAACAGCTCTCGGTGCCTTTAAGGTGAAATGAGTAAATGAATGAATTAGTACCCCCGTATGAAGGCCCGGTGGAGATCACAAACAGTGATAACATAAACTGTAATACGCCAAAAAGCAGTTACTCAAGCAACTGGATATGATTCTGGAAACGGTCAGACGTTTCAGCTAGTATCCACTAGCTTTCGTCAGTGACTGAGAGACCAGAGGGGAAATGCAGGTTTATATTGTAACCACTAACTATTGATTGATATGCAAATAAAGTGAACACAATTTTTTGGAAGTCGAAAAGGGAACAAAAGTCAGACTTGGATGTCTAACCTTCATCGACGAATAAACTGTAATACTCCAGCACCTGGCCTATAACCGTTCATCAACCCTACCCAGGCATATCTGTATCTGTATCGGTATAGTCGGTATAACCGCCCTTCGGCGTAACACACCAGCTTCGCAGGCACGCGGCGCGGCGGCAGCTGGCTACATTGCACTGATCGACTTGTTGCACCCAACCCTTGAACATCTAACTCTAGAATCTGTACTGTACGTATGTACGAACTCTAGAAGCTGTACTGTACATATCCTCATGGATGTATCTCTGTGTACAGGTATGCGTTAAGGCCACACCGACTTAATTTTATGGATGACATCCGCGCGCGCATTGATTTTCGCAGCGGCGCCCTCAAAACAAAACAAAAAAAAGATCACCTCCACCGAGGCTCTGGCCTGGCTCTAGGCCTGGGTAGTCCATAGTAGTCAGCGACAAAACGGAGCCGAGCTATCGAATTCAAAGCTCCACGACTCAAGAACTCATGTACATACGTACAGTACCAATTCATAAATGCCGCAAAAAGCCAGCATGTGCCGGCTTGTCGTACATGTGTACGTCGCTATATACTGTCGCGAATTCACAATGCTAGCTTTGTATTCCTGTGGTCTAGTAGCATTTTTATTTTTGGCCGGAATTTTTTTTAATTCCCCCGCCCGCACTAGTTTGGGGGTCTTCAGAGGATGTCATCCATAAAATTAAATCGGTGCAGCCTAATCACTTAAACCCCGCCCTATGATGTGATTAAAGTGTTAATTATTACCCATGATACCACCCCGTACCCCGTGCAGAAAAGTTAGACCTTGATCTTTTGCAGAATCATGGGACGAATCTCGCGGCAGCCATCTTGAAAGAGAACACTTCGCAACAGGACCGTCCATTTTCTGATTTCTTTGAGAGATTTCTGACTCCTGTTTTTATGTAGAGAGAGTCGAAGTTGAGACAACAACTTTACTCTGCTACACCAAAGGTGTATAGACACAACGGACTGCGTATAATCAACATACAGGTAAGAAGCTATGTTCACGTACTAACTCTACGGAAAGCGTTAAACATGCAAATTATGCAGAGATTGGTCGCGATTGTACATCAGAAATCATTCTTGTATCTCACCGTTTTTTTAATAGCCGATTGGCTTTTGAGGTCTTTCCAAATCCTTTGAAATTGTGCCCATGTTATGTTGACACATTTAAACAATAAACTTACAATTGTTTACTCAATAACTAAGCTTAAAGAGCTTTAAGAGCCCCTTACGTTCATTTGTGCTACTCAATGACAGAATTATTTCATCTATAACTTATGCATTACGATGTGAATTATGCTTTTAAGTGTGCAAAACAGCTACGGAAGAAGTTTGTTCATAGCACCAGGCCTAGGGTTTACAGCAAGTAGTTTAAGGGGAGGGGCTTTTTTTCTTAGGCGACGTAACTATGATGTTATGATGTATTATATACATAGCTACAGTACGTTGTGTCAATTGTGTCAAAGAGTTATGTGAAAACCACATGTAGTCTTGGTTAGAATCCATCGTTTTCTTGGTCAGAAATATTCAGTCCTCTTCTGGTAAATTACTTGGATAACATGGGTGCTGTCTCATTAATTCACCATAGACTGTTTAGTGCTGTAACACTTAAGCTGGTGGTATACCTACCTTTACTACCTATAGCTATCCCATGTATAAAGTAGTTACCACGTTTTTTAGACAACACTTTTCAGCACTAAATAAATGGGAGGAATAGCGCTTTTCCTGTAGCCTTTTAACTACATACAATGCCCACGCCACGTGAAGGGACCTTTAGACTTTGCATCGCCATTAATGTCTGCTTGTTTGACGCAGTTGAAAATAACTGTTTGATCACTGTATTTTTTACGCCTTGTTAGTAAGTATCAAACCTTCAGAGTTGTCAATAGCTATATATTTCACATTGGCCTTTTCATAGGCTGTCAGATTGCAAGAAAAATTTCTAGTAATTGTGTATTCTTGAGTAAACATGTCTTAGATTTGTTCTTACCTCCAAAAACATCTATGAATTTACTCTTCTTTTCTTGGTTTTAATGTAAGTTATTTCAGATTCCTGTGGTTTAACATTGATTTAACAGAAATTCGCATTTGATTCAACAAGACAAAAATGCTTATGTATAATGTTTATCTACCAAAGTATATTATACTACGTGCTTTTGTCACGCACTACAGTTTGACCATTTTGACCCTCTGTTTTTATAATCATTGGTCTTGCACATGGATTTTAAAGAAAACGTTTGACATGAGATCGAAAATTAACATGCAAACTACGAAATTAAAACACCATTTAGACAGAAACACGTACTCGTCAAAGCGTTTAGGTCTGAGCTATATTTGCTCAGTCTTATTATATACCAAGGTAACAACTCTATGGTGCGACGTTAGCATTTCAAAAGTTTACATAAAACATTATCTAACTCAGTATCCAGTTTGCTTAGGGCAATTTTAAATTTCAAATTTTGAAAGTTCATTCTATTAAAATTCAAAACATAAGCTTTATACCTCAATAGTGTTGATATCTTTGCAAATACTACTATGACGTTCATTTTGACAAGTTTTGGCATATTTCACATTTTTACTTTACATAATGAAAACCAACTGTGCTTTATTATATAAGTATAATGTGGACCACCTATCCAATATGGCGGACCAGTATGACCTGTTCCGAACTCTGGAATTTTATCTACTAAAAAAACACGTTGCAGAAGCTAGTACAAAGGTCATCTGGCCCGAGCACAATTTTGTGGGGTCGTGTGGCATAACGACAGAGCGTTAGGCTCGGAACCAAGAGGTCCCGAGTTCGAATCCTGCCATGCCACCGATCATATGTCCGGAAATATATAAAGGCACTTCACAAGAATTTCCTCACTTTACTCATGTGAAAATGAGTATGTCTGTTGTTCGTTCATGCTTTTGGTGGTGGCATAAGAATAAAGTGAGTTTGCCGTTGAGGAACAGCCTGTCTTCCAGGCTAGGCTGTACTGCACCACTGACTTTGGAATATGATTATATAAAAAAAAGAACTAGTGAACGACACAAAAATTTATGATAATGCATCTTGGTCCTGGAACCCAGAAAGTGGCCTGTGTAAGCCCTGGAAACAGTCTGGATTCCAGGCTAAGCCGAGACGTCCTACTCTTCCTCATCTCTGATTTTTAGGGTTTTACAAACAAAAAGGCTAGTGAACGACACAAAAAATTATTGACATTGCACCTTGGTCCGAGAGCCCAGGAGGTGGCCTGTGTAGGCCCTGGACTCTGGGGATTGCTGTCAAAGATCTAAAAGACACTAGTGAACAACACTAAATGATTGACATTTTATTTTATCCTACCATCTACAGAGTCAGACTCACAGAGATACCAAAGATGCTGTCCGTACTCGCCATCACGTTGGTCCTAGTGACGTCAGGCGTGCACAGCCAGGGTACTCTGGACCCAAGCGTGTGTAACCTGCCCACGGAAGTTTCAGGCGGACCCGCCATCCCACAGTTTGACAACATAGACCATTTCGAGGCCTACATTGAGTGTAACATGAAAGGTGATTGGTCGTCAGCTTGTCTAATTTGCATAACGATTATTCAAACGGCTCCTTTAAAATTCTGATTTTTAATGGGGGTCTTCAGCAAGTCTGAAGATTTTTTTCACTGTTTTCGTTGAATGTTTGGTCGTAGTTTTCTTCTTCCTCTTCTTCTCCAAACCAATAAGGTCAATGACCTGAACCAGACGTCTGTCACCATGGTAACTAGTGTTGCAAGTTTATAGCAGGAGGGATTTAGACTCCTCTCTGACCGTGTTTGAATATGTTTGAGTAAGAAGAACAGACCATATGCGAAGGCGAACAATGTTACCTTTCTAGTTTTATGTTGCAACTAAGTTTGTATACTAGTATTTTTTCATTATTTTGTACCGCAGACATTGGTGAGACCATCGAGGTAAAAGAGTACTATGACAGTAAGGAGGACCGAGGTGCCCTGGACACCATACAGTACGGACAGGGCATCTATCTCATCTATGACTACAGCGTCTTACAGATATACGAGATCGTTCAGCGGACGTCAACCGGTAAGATTTGCGACTGTTTTCTGATTTTGTACGTACATTGATTTACATGTTGTTGAGTTCGTACGTACATTTTGTACATGGTTTACACCGCTATAAAACTCTAGCATAGACCTACATGTGCGTCGCCAATGTTTAGGGAAAAACAAACAATTTACATAAACAATGTTTACACACAGTACTGCAATGACTATTTTTTGTGTTTGTTGTCTTTTATATCATACTTATCGTTCGTGAAACTACCCGGCTGAGTCCTTGGCTGATAATTGTGACTAAGCATAGGCAATTCGAGCAACATTGTTTTTATACGGTTTACTAAAACAGCAGTAAACGCTTATGTATAGGGCTAGTCATTATTAAGACCTAATTGGCAATCCCCAGTTCCCAAAATGTTGATTGGTTAATATACGTGTATATATACATAATTTTCTTGTGGGTTACCGAAAGCTTAAGTTCGTAATTTGTATGACTTACATAATCATGTATTATGACGTATCATTATAGTAGATAATACAATAAATGAATGAATGAATGAATGAATGAATGAATGAATGAATGAATGAATGAATGAATGACTGTTTTCATGCCATTGCGATCATATGTCGCCCAGCCCATATGGGCTTATAAGGCACCGACAAAATACAAAATCAAAACAACTCAAAAGGTACAGAGAATCAGATATAACATAAATTATTCAAGTGCAAAGTCTCGCATGAAGGTAAAGCCATGTTTGCAACTAAAGCAACCATTTTTTTCATGTCCACTAGAAAACCCCGTTTGTCAAGTGAGGCCGATGCAGTCGTCAGCGCAGAACGGCGTGTTCGGTCTGAACCCGGGTACGGGGAACAGCGGGCACATCTTCAGTGTCGCCCAGATGTTCAACCTCGGCACCACCGGAATGAGATACGCAGGTATAAGTCTCCATCTTTATGAAACAAGTTTGACCTGCAATATCCAAAACAAGAAATTGGACTCACCCAAAGTTTCGACTGTACAACTCCAGTCTTTGTCAAGGAATGAACAATTCACCGCTTCCGTGACGTCACGCAGGTAACACACGTGACTTCGTGAGCAATATATAGGTTGCAGAAAGTCTGTGACGCCCCCCGTCTCTGTTGAGGGATGGTTGCAATGCCCTGATGTAGATGGCCTCTTTAATTCCTCGTGAAGAAATCCTATTCTGTGTCCAGGATTCTTACTTTATCCAATAAGACTGAATGTCTATGCGATTCAAAATGTTTATGTTGTCTTCATCTTTCTTCTTTAGAACAGTTTTTTTTTATTCCAACATCTATCACATGACATGGTGACGGCACACTCAAGTATTTTAAACTTATTCTTATGCCGCCACCAACGCAGAGGACAAACGCATGAACGGACAGCAGATAGACATACTCATTTTCACCTGAGTTAAGTTAGGAAATTCGCGTTAAGTGCCTTTCCCAAGGCCAAGGGCACAAGATCGATGTCATGGTAGGATTCGAACTCGGGACCTCTTGGTACCGAGACGAACACGCTACCGATTATGCCACACGTACAGGACTGTGCCCATCTCCGTTTCTGCATTATAAGCCCTCTAGCCACATACATACTATCAGTGTTATTATTGTACTGACAAGTTGATGTGTGTGATTAGGTACGGCGACAGTCCGAGGAATGCCGGTCCATAGGTACAGTCTGTGCGTGTACTGGGACCAGTGGCAGTCTTCTATCCAGGCGGACTACTACTTCACACTCTCTGACTACCAGGTATATGTTCACTTGTGTACAATGGATTTCAGATATTTTATCTCCCTTTCTTTAAATTTTATCTCCTCTCTCTCTCTCTGCACGTATGAGAGTGGCAATCGTGCATATGTGCATGCGTTTGTGTGTATGCATGTGTATTTTGTATGTGTACTTGTGTGTGTGTGTGTGTGTGTGTGTGCGTATGAGAGTGTACGCATGCTTGCGAGTGTGTGTGTGTGTGTGTACAAGTTTGTGCATGTGTTTGTGTGTGTGTGTGTGTGTGTGTGTGTGTGTGTGTGTGTGTGTGTGTGTGTGTGTGTGTGTGTGTGTGTGTGTGTGTGTGTGTGCGTGCGCGCGCGTGCGTGCGTGTGTGTGTTAGGGGGTAGAAATATCGTGGCAAAATTATTGTGTAACAGGATTTTGTCGGTTGTTTCTAAAATATAACTCGAAGAGGACTCTGGTACTACCTACGAAATGCTCTAAACACAAAGTTGTATTATCATGAAAATTGCTGTGTTGGTAGTAATCATAATAAAACGTTAAACTTTATTCCAACACACTATTTACAGGGATCAAATTTTCAGCGACCACTGTCTCCTTCATCAGGATAATTAATGACCAATCACTTAACCTTTCTTCTTCCCCAATAGAACCCGTACAACTGGGCCAGCATGGTCCCGGTACGTATCACAGCTAAGGGCATCGCCCAGGGTCCTCCCCACCACCGGCCGGGCGATCCCGTCAACCCTAACGAAGTCACCATGACGCAGCACAACTTCGATCACGTCTACGACATCTTCTTTTTCAAACCATACGTCAACGACCGCACTGTGTTCGACGTAAGTAGAACAAGACTGGCAATAAAACATAAACATACATTGCCATGGCGACGGTGGCTGCTTTTAGGGTTATTGTTTGGTCCAACATAAAAAAAAAAGTTCTCTCACCTAGAGCTTTCGACCAGTCACTCTGGTCTTCCTCAGTAGACTGACCCAGTGAAGCTTGTCACGTGGCTTCTTTGAAGTGTGACGTCAACACTGGGTCAAAGGTATCTTGTAGACGATGTCGGCCCCCGTCGCGGTTCAATGAATGGTGATGGGCCCTGATGTTTTTTTTTTCAGATCCCAGCAGGAGTGGTCTGCCCGGGGCGACCCCCCGTCAAGCCTCTCCCTGATATCCCGAACGCCTTCAGCTACAGGTCCGAGATTCTCGTCAAGTACAACTTCGTCGTCTCTTACATCGATGTAAGTAAAGACTAGAGAAGTAACATTTGCAAAGCAAATGCATAATGTTTACCTTCGGACATGGTCTGCCCTGTTAATTTTTACTCAAACATATTCACATACATATGTTGTGTTTTGTCTATGTTCACGTAGTAGTAATAACAATAGTGACGTTAGTAATTATCGTGGTGGTAGTAGTAGTAGTAAAGGTAGTAAAAGTAGAAGTGGAAGTAGTAGTAGTAGTACTAGTAGTACTAGCAGTGGTAGTAGTAGTAGAACTTAAGTAGTAGTAGTAGTAGTAGAAGTCGTAGTAGTATAGTGGTGGTGGTAGTGGTAGTAGTAATAGTAGTAGTACTGACTACTGTAGTAGTATTAGTGGTAGTAATAGCAGTAGTAATAGCAGTAGTAATTAGGAAATCATATTGAGCGGTGTTACTAGATATGGCGTATAGATAATTGTTTTTATTTCGGAGAAGAGGCGTTATTCAACTCCTTCCTGTACCATATGGTTTATAGGCTGTGCTTATCTCCATTTCTTGCCCTTGGGCCACACAGATGTGTAAGCATTGCAGCGAAGCGTAATTTCTTTGCAATGTTCTGACCAAGTCTTCCCACTTTCACCTGTTCCATACAGGAGTACTATGATTACAATAACAAGCTGGTTCGGTACGACTACAAACCTTTGTCCGCCTCCTCTAATTCATTCGGCACGGACAACGAAATAGTCGTGCACGACTTCAGAACAGGTAAGGACCTCTGTATCCGTGTTGCCTATATTTCCCCGTTTGGTGTAACAACGCCAGTCTCACAGGCATGCGGCACTTAATTGATTGATAATTAAGTAAAAATAAAGATAGTAAAGATAGCGAGAAAAACGATGATGAATTGACCGATATAATTGTATTGAGGCGCGGTGGCAAATTTGAAATGTCTGCGACTTTGATGCAGTTCGGGATGTTGTCCCAAGTAGAGGAGCTGCTTTGCTGTGATCTACTGAAAGCTATCGCGTCCTGCTATAAGGCATCCCGCCGTGCATGGGTCTCCGGTCACTTCCTTACTTCCCATTTAAGACATCAGTAAGGCTTCCCCCCAAGGCCGCACGAGCCTGCCACTGCTTTTTCCGGGCGGGCCGCCATTCCAAGCCTGACGAGAATGCTCAGCTGAGGCCGGAGTGTAGTGGTGGTGCGTCCTTGGTGCTGAAACAGGGGATCCCCAATCTATGTCCAAGCTTGGCAGGCATTATATCGCCACTCCAAGCCTGCGGAAAGTGCTCAACTGCGGGCCGAATAGTGTGGTAGAGCGTCCGCGGTCGATGTCCTTGGTACTGAAATGGGGGTCCCTAATTTCTGCCCGAGCTTGGCAAGGCGTCCCGTGCCTCTCCAAGCCTGCCGAGAGAGCTCAGCGGCCGCAGGAGGGACTACAGCAGCGGTGCGTCCGCGGTCGATGTCCTTGGTGCTGAACTAGGGGTCCCTATTCTCTGCCCGAGTTAAGCACGGCATTATGCCGCCACTCCAAGCCTGTCAAGAGAGCTCAGAGGCCGCAGGAGGGACTACAGCAGCGGTGCGTCCGCGGTCGATGTCCTTGGTGCTGAACTAGGGGTCCCTATTCTCTGCCCGAGTTAAGCACGGCATTATGCCGCCAATCCAAGCCTGTCAAGAGAGCTCAGAGGCCGCCGGAGGGACTACAGCGGCGGTGCGTCCGCGGTCGATGTCCTTGGTGCTGAAACGGGGGGTCCCCAATCTCTGCTCGAGCTTGGCAAGGCGTCCCGTGCCGCTCTGAGCCTGCCGAGAGCACTTAGCTACGACAGGAGTACAGCGGCGGTGCATGTCCTTGGTGCTGAAACGGGTGATCCCTAATCTCTGCCCGAGCTTGTCAAGGCGTCCCGTGCCTCTCCAAGCCTGCCGAGAGAGCTCAGCGGCAGCCGAAGTACAGCGGTGGTGCGTGCACGGGTGATGGCCTTGGTGCTGAAACGGGGGATCTCTAACCTCTGCGCGAGCTTGCCAAGGCGTCCCGTGCCTCTCCAAGCCTGCCGAGAGCGCTCAGCGGCAACTGAAGTACAGCGGTGGTGTGTACACGGGCTATGTCCTTTGTGCTGAAACGGGGGATCCCCCGAACCTACTGACAGCTCTCAGTTGCAGCCGGAGTACAGCGGCCGTGCGTGCGCGGGCGATGCTCTTGGTGCTGAAACAGGGGATCCCTAACCATTACCTGCTAAAGGCCGTTCCGATGAACATTGAGCGCGCAGCGCCGCCTGTACACGGAGACAAGAGCGGTAGATGTGCCCCTCTTATTGTAGCAAGCTTGGGTTCGATCAGATGTGAAATTTAAGGAACACAGCCGCCCCATACAACGACAAACTTTTGAAGTATGTTGGGGAAGGGGGTGGGGAGCAGAGGGACCACGATGTGCAGCTGAAAGTTGACAACGCTCTAAAAAACACAAATGCCGCAAAATAACAACAAAAATACAAAGTATGAGGGCAGAGCAGTCATTCTTGGAAGTCATTTGTCATAGATGTATGGATTTTAATTGTTCTGTTAAATTATATTCATTCAATTTCATTTCAAATTTACTTATCAACTCTAAAGCTTCCTAATTATCAACTCTAAAGCATTACAAGATAGCTTATAGATATGACATAGGTAGTTTTTTCATGTTTTTATGGATTATATCTGTTTATGTATTGATACAAGCCAAGTGCCTGAGGTAAATACATAATCAAATGAAACAAGGAAATAGATTGATTAACTCCTGGTCTGATGGTTTGTTGCAGGTATTGAATATCTGACTGACGCAATTTCTGGGAACTGCACAACTCGACCCATCTCCAACACCAGCTTCGACTCAGAGGCGGTGGATCCCTATACCATCCGCATGCGCAACAAATTCGAATTCTTTGAGTTCGACAAAGTCAACTACTCGTACAGTGGAGTGGTGAGTGGCTTTTCTCTTACCATACAAGTAGAGATTAAGTTAGAAAAGTAATATTTTGACAGTTTGTGTGGTCTCTATGAACTGACTGCTATGTTGACATCTTTGTATGTGTCTTGATTGTAGTTTAAGTGCATACAACAGTTTTAAATCTAATCCAGAATTTTTGTGGTATTCCTCCTTTGAGGTGTATACCTCTATAAAAACCTATTCTCATCTCATACTACATACTCTTGTATCAGGTAATGCCTTGTGGAACTATAGTTATGTACTAGTAGATGCTATACTTTGTACCTTGTACAATTGTTGTGCAGTAAAGTTTATCAATATCTAATGGTGGTTTCAAGAGGGTCAGAAGATATCTTGGCCAAAACTACTTGAGATATGACTCAATAGAATGCAAATAGGGACATCACAGTGGCAGCCGACACCGTAATGATGTCAAATGAACTGAAAAGTGGCAGCTGGCACATGAAGCTATCTTCCTACCTTCATATAATACTTTTGTGCCAAGTTTGCTGTATTATGGGACTATATCTTCAGCATTGAAAGTGTGTCAGCTTCCCCCATCACACCGGAGGCTGTTACGTCATTCTGTTGTATCAGCTCCAGCTGTGATGAGTGAAGAGGCATGCACAGTACAACAACCCAACACACTGGCACACAGTACAACAACCCAACACACTGGCACACAGTACAACAACCCAACACACTGGCACACAGTACAACAACCCAACACACTGGCACACAGTACAACAACCCAACACACTGGCACACAGTACAACAACCCAACACACTGGCACACAGTACAACAACCCAACACACTGGCACACAG